CGAGGGATCCCCAACTCCTTCTTATTCAATCCAGACATTTATGCACTAAACAACTTAGTACAGATCAGCGAGGAGATGTTGGATCTTGGGTTCGTGAAGCTTGTATGAATGGATTTTCGGAAATTTGTTCACTTATTGCACGATTGGACTTAAATAATCCTAGTTGTGAACCATGGTTGTCAGATGAATTAAGTATAAAGATTTTTGCTAAATTATTAAAACAAAGTGTTGAAAGAATTGATAAAATCAGATCTTGCGCTGGCCGAGTATTATTGGAATTTCTATACACGAAGATCCTTTCAGGAGATGAAGTGTATCTATTTAATTTGCCAGCTCGAGAAACTTTACAAAATCTTTTGCCAAAGTATGTGACAATTATACACAAGCTTAATGTCATCAATAATTCCATGAAAAAATTAATTTTTTATATTTTTCAGAGATGAAGAGATCCATTGGACCTCTCCACTAGAACTGTATCCCAGAATGGTCAAATTACTCACGTTAAAAGAATATAGATTTGATTTACTTGTTGGATTAGTAATTGCAGCTGGGGGTATAAATGAATCCCTGGTCAGTTTGATACATTTGATATCTGTTACATTAGTCGTATCTAAATCATACGTATCCATAATTAACAATATTTAGTTTATAGGTTCGTTATTCAAGTAGTACGTTACTTGATTATGCAAATGAACTCCCCGTTACATCACCCGAAGATTCATCATTATCGTTACCGGAACTTGCAAATGAACTCTTAAACATACTTCGTCACAATGAAAAACAAGATCGTATAGCTATTCCTTTATTGGAAGTTTTGGATTTATTATTTGAATCTGGAACTTTACAAAAAATTGATTTGGACCTTTTCAGGTATGTATAATTTTATTTGTTAGTTTTATATACCATACTAACAAGATATTTTTTATTATAATATTGTAGCTTTGCTGACTTATTTGAATGTGTCAAAAAAGAAATTTCAGGGACACGAGAAATAAGAAAAATTACAGCCTGTATGCGAGTGTAAGTTACCAATTTGAATTTTTTTTTTATATCATCCAAATCAATATTTAAACTTATCAATTGTGTAGTCTTTGTGGGATGACATCGCTAGATGGTACAGTGCGAAATCGTTCTTTGTATCAATTACTTAGTTTATTAGTACATCCTTTTCCAAAGGTAAGGCTTTTTTATTAGAAATCAATATTATGTTTATAATAACTATTTACTAAATTCAGGTTTGTTGTTTTCTTCAGGTTCGAAGATCGACTGCAGATCAGTTGTATTTAACACTTACCGGGTCAATAGAAGATGAATCAGAAGAAATGCTAAAGATTGAAGATATTTTAGTCAATACTGATTGGTATTTTTTGTAACACTCATATTTGTATCGTAACAAAAAAAATTCATATGTTTGAACTTTTATTTATATTCTTTTGGTTATATTCTAGGGATAGTCCCGTACCTCAATTAAAGGAACTTAGAAATCAACTTTATCCCTTATTGGGGCTAAAACAACCAAATTTTAAAACACCTGGCACTAATACCACTTCAACATCTTAAATCGTGTTTTAATTAGAACCTTCGGTTAATAAACTCTATATTAAAAATACGCAATAGGTTATTTGTATTTTTATATAGTGCATATTTATTTATTAATATTTATAGCTTTTGATAAAGTAATTCAGGCAATTGCTCAGGGGTGTATGTAGATCATTTTTCATATGGGGACCGTTCAACTAAAAGGGGGCTTATGGCTTTTTTTCCATTTTGAGAAAATCACGTTTCAAATTTGGAGGTCTAAAGCGGAGATAAATCATGTGACTATCAGCCAATCAAATTATAGAATTTTGATGATCGTCGGCGAAGCAATACAAGAAAGAAAAACAAAAAACCTAAAAAATACAAAAAACGGCAGTCAAAACCTGCCTTGGGTAG